TGAATGTGTAGGACGAGGTACCACCGAATTTCATGTTGGTAGTTTTAGTTTGCGACTGATGCTCCGAGTCATGTGACCGAGAGTTTATATAGTCCTTGTGTGACCTTTATCCCGCGTGGCCATTCGTCGGTTCGTGGACGGCTGGACGCGACCTTGAAACCTAACTGCTATACCCATCTTTCACACACAGGTAAGTATAGGATGCACAGGATTGATTTTATTATATATATATATAATATTATAATATATATATAATATATATATGTATGTATATATATATAGTATATATATATATGTTATATATATATAATAATATATATAAATATATTATATATACACACACACACATACACCACACACACACACACACACACACACACACAACACACACACACACACACATATATAAATATATATATATATATATATATATATATATACATTATTCATGTACATATAGTATATTTATCCATCTATCCTTACATATATATGTATATGTATATATCTGCATACATATTCATATGTAATATATATATGTATATATTCACACATATATACATATGCATATATGTTATGAACGCATATTCATATATATTTGTATGCATGTATATATATCACTGCCTGTGTGTGTGTGTGTATAAACACACATGTGTGTGTGTACGCACACATGATGTGATCTATATAACACATAATATATACGCACATGGATATATATATATATATATATATATATATATATATATATATATATGTATGATGTATGTATGTATGTATATGTATATAGTTGCATTGTTAGACATGTATATTCTATATATATAAACATATACAAATATGTACATGTATATATTCCTATAGATACACACATGTATACATGTATATCCATATAGGTATGTGTAATGTGCATGTAGATCACTCTTTATATGCACACACATATATATATGGCTATCTACTTATGTATTTTAAAAGCGTCTGTATATAAATAATTTTTCTGTTTACACACGCGCTCGCTCGCTCAGTACATATATGCACACAGATATATGTTGCACATATATATCATATGTGCATGAATGCCTAAAAAAACCATATATATATGTTGAATATAATAGATTCTCCATTTTATTTGTTTTATTTGCTAGTCTTTCTATATGTGTGTGTATGTAATGATGTCAAGATCCGTAGTAAAATTATTCCTGTCTATGGTTGAACTGATAGAGAGTAAAATAGGTAAACGATATTTTAATAACTAGAAGCTAGTTCACTAGCTGACACAAGAAAGTGTACTTTTTTTTTTTTTTTTTTTTTTTTTTTTTTTTTTTTTAGATGTGTAGTGGTTTAAGAGGCAATATTTACATTAACTACTGACTGATTCGTAATAAGGAAATCTTCGTTGGTAATATCGGTTACTGAAGAGTAGAAAAAATAGATTCTTTAAGCCGAGTAGGTACTTAATTCAATAGCCGGTCATCAGTTTCTCGAAAGAAGGCTGCGAATGTTTTCGACCTCATTA